GGGTCATTACACTAATTGAATTTTCTTTCCCCCATGTTAAGTTCTCCTCACACCTTCTATGGGTCATCTCGATTATCACTTCAACGTTTTTTCTTCTGTTACTACTGATAGCTCATCTCAATTGATTGGCCTCTTACAATTGGTATGGCTACTTCCTTCTTTTCATGTTCTCTGTATGTATAAATATCTTCTGTCTGTGTGTTCCATTCTATGCATCTGAAGAGGTGAGCTATAGTCCACAAAAGCTTATGCTAAAATAAATTTGTTAGTCTCTAAATTGCCACAAGTACTCCTGTTCTTTTTCCAAATAGTGATCTATTTAGAGGAGAACAGGTGGATCTGGGAACTCCAAGCTGGCACCCCTCTTCTATCAGGAACTGATGATTCACCCGCCAGCAGAAAGTTTGGGGGCCCAAGAAACCTCATATTCAGGCACCAGTCCCTAAGTGCTTTCACTTCAGATTTTCATGTTCTCATTTTACCAGCCAAAGAGGAAGGGAAAATCTGAGAGAGCAGGGCTTCTCCCATTCCAGGAACAGGCAGCTTGTCCTTTGATTTGACAGCAGCAGAGGAGCTGAGCTTTCTCTTGGTTTAACTTCTGCAACCCACAACAAAATAAGGAAAAATTTTGATACATAGTTAATCACCCTTTTCTGGACCGCACAATAGAAAGTATAATTGACATAAATGTTCATTTACTTTTCTCCCTAAAAAAACCTGCATAGTGGCACGTGATCTTGAAAATATACCTTAGCTCAGTGTAAAACCTGCATGTTACCCATGGTCACATCAAAACTAATAGCAAAGTCTGCAGACCAGCAAAATTTAAAAGTCCAGACTCTTCACACAGATACTAGTGATGACTGACTTATTTCCTTTCCCACGTATAATATGCATGCATGTTGTTTTTTTTTTTTTTTTTTTTTTAGTAACCAAATTCTCAGCTGGTGTTCACTGGCATAGTTCCATTGACTTTAATGGAGTAAGGAAGTTTATAGCAGCTGAGGATTTGGCCTGGTATTTATAGAAAATCTTTAAATCTAAAAAAAGGAATAACAAGTTACTAAACTAGTGACTCCTACTTACACCCAACAAAAGTTAACCCTTTCCATTGCTATTCAAAAACTAATGTCTGATATGCCATCCTATTATTGTATAAGGTCTTTGGAGAGAAACTTTTTGGTGATGAGCAGGTAACAGGAATTAAAGTAGAAATCTAGAAAGTTTAATTGATCTTCACTGAGTCAAACTTGGAGCAGTGTATTCAGAATTTGTTTAGGACAAAACAAGGCTGTTGAAAATGTTTTCTTTAATAATAATAATTAATAATTAATAATTAATAAAAATTCATGTGGCTTGATTTTGGCTCAAAGATGACTGTCAACCATAATACAATGTTGCTGGTGTTATGGTTAGTGTATTTTGTAAAGACATTTGAATGCATGACAGAGGCAAATACTCTGTTACTGGAGCTAGTGAAAGAGACAGTCAAAGAGCATAACAGAACATGAAATATTCAAACAGATTTTGATATAATTTCTCATATTTCGTTATCCTATATTGCTGAATCAGATGAATGAGTTATTGGCCCATTGCAGAATTACTATACATTTTTATTGCAAAAATGGCTACCTGTAAAAGAATTAAGTCAAATATTCTGGACCATATGGTCCCGCGCCCCCCGCCTTGGCTAACAGAGTGCAAAGGAGACCTTAACATCCCAAACAGTGTAGAGTGGGGGTGAGGGAGATACACTGCTCTCCATCTGGTTGGTACCACCCTTTCCCAACAACATAAATGTCACTTTCTCCTGTGGTTTCTACATACAGTGCAATTGCACTCCACAGAGCTGAGAGGTATGGGCAGGCAGTGTCAAGGGAAGAGCTGTTCCATGTATCATGTTCCCTGTGATCTTCTGTTACATGGGAAATTTTATGGCTACATTCAATTTAGACAGATTGACCTATTTGTAAAAACAAAAGTATTTGGTTGTGTTCTGCTTTTTGAAAAGATTTGAGAGAACTCTGCCTTGTGCTTCAGCAAGAAGGGGAGTATTATAATAATCCATATATTTAATTAGACCCATATATTGAGGAGATATATATACACACATACAGAGAGCATGAACAGATGGGAGTTGTCTTACCAACTCTGAGAGGCCAATTAATTAAGAGAAAAAAAACTTTTGAAGTGATAATCGAGATAGCCCAGTATAGACAGTTTGATAAGAAGTGTGAGCATACTTACAAGGGGAGATAGATTCAATGTTTGTAATGGCTCAGCCATTCCCAGTCCTTATTCAAACCGGAGTTGATTGTGTCTAGTTTGCATATCAATTCCAGCTCAGCAGTCTCTCGTTGGAGTCTGTTTTTGAAAACTGTCTACAAATGTTATCGAGAAGTAAATTGTGTGAATATGAACAAAGGAAGATTGTGAAAATGAATTCCATTTCTATTCAAATGAATGTTCATAAATACATATTCAGTATTATTCACCTGGACCCTTAGCCTGTAAATGATTGCCAAGTGGCGCAAGTGTCACATTTTTGGCTTTCTACATGATAGACCTTGTCCCACTGGGGCTATAATATGTCAGAAGCCAAATCCCAGTGTGGCTGCACTGAGGCAAGCGGCTAGCCAGGCAGGCAGAACTGTCAGAATGCATGATTTGCACCAGTGCTGTATAATTTTTCTTGAAACTAGGGTTGACTGCTTGGTATATGTCTTATAGCATATTTGCCTGTCTACTCCTAGAAGTTTATGTCAGCACAACTATACCGATGGCTGTGAATAGGGCAAGTTCCAGGATACACAAGGCCTGTTGGTGTATCTTTTCTGGTCTCCTATTCAATTTTTTTTCCTTGCTGAACTATGACACTGATTTAACTCCCATAAAACCTTTGGTTATTGTTACTGTTCTGGGCTGAGGATAAAACGGTCTTTTCAATGTACTGCTCTGTACTGTATACACAGTGGACTGGCTGAACATGCAATGTAATTCAAACAATAACTTGACATTTATCTGTGTAAGTATTTAATAGGGAGCTGTTCAGAAATGTCATATTAAGGTGTCATCACAGTTAGTCATAGGGATGTTACAATGACAGTTAACTAGTTTGTTTACTGGCAGTAAAGAAGCTTATTTGGCTAAAACTGCTAAGAGCCACCCTTAGCTGAACAATAGGACTGTTCTACAATTGGCTACCTTGTCATAAAATATGAACATGGGTTTTAGTTATGAATAAAGTACCTATTTTTACCATGACAGTGTTTTATCAAACTGTAAAAAGCTTTCTGAACTTTGCATTCTGTAAGTAAGACTAATTGTGTGCACTGGATAACTCAAATTCAGATGTGATGGGGTTCTCTTGGATTTTATTGTATATTGCTTTTTTAGTTAGGACTAGATTTGGTAGTCTGCATCTGCCCAGAATAAAGGGCAAACGTTGTTGTGCTGACCCTGGAGCTGACTGGAGGGAAACGGTCTCGCTCCACTGCTACAAGGAGCAAATAGACTATGCTGGGTCTACACCCAGCACAACATATGCTCCCTGACGTGCTGTTGTAGCTCTGTTGCCAGGCTCTCTGTGTTGGCGTTTGTGGGTGTGTGCTAGGGCTCCCAACCCTTTACAGGTACTGTGGAGTCTGCTGCCCTTTTAGTGCTGAAAGTGATGCACAAGAGTATTGTGCTATTGGGCAGTGCAGGCCACAATCTGGCCCTTGGTATAAGGAAGCCACACAGGCACCAAAAAGGCAATCTGCACAGTTACCAAAAGGAATGTATCACTTCTTTTTGTATAGAGAGATTCTGCAATGATAGAATTTGTTAAAAGCTTTTCAGGCTCTTACTTATGACTAAGCTTTCCCTGACTGACTTAATTTTTTTCAAATAATGAAGATCTGTATGATGATAAATATTTGTTTATATATTTAAGAAAAACAGAAATACTTGTGATTTTTGTCATCAAGTTAACTTGTCTTTAAATTGTCTGTAGCAACTAGCAGCTGAGTGTGTGGAAGGGAACCCCTTACATCAATGATTCTTAATTATACGCAATGTTCTCACCACTGAAGAAAACTTAGACTCTTGGTGTCATGACCACAGGTCTTGAACCCAGGTTCGCAAGAGTGGCCATGCTCCAACTCTCGCTTGCTTGCTTGCGTGCGACCCATGAAGCCCAGCGCCAGTTTGAGGCTCCACCCCCGGAGGTCCTACTGGCAGACTCTTGGAGTAGCTGATTGTCCCACTGTCCCCACTTAAACCAGATGTAGGAACAGGAAGCTGCCTGAACAACTGGGCTGCATCCTGTTTTGGACTGCGTGCCTTGTGCTTCCTGCTCCCCAGGCTTTGATTTTCTGGCATCTTGACCTGGCATGACTCCCAGCATCTGATTTGAGGTTCTGATCTCCATTTTGTCTCCTGTGTCAGACTACCACTGATATCTTGACCCAGTTAACTCCTGATTCTGGTCTTGTGACTGTGGGCTCTGGCTCTGGTTACTAGGTGTGCCCGCCCACAATTCAGCTGAGAAGCTTGGTTTCATAAAGTGAAGCTGGTTTGGCTTTCAGCTAGAAACTTCTGCCTTTCACCAGAGAGAGAGAGAGAGAGAGGATTCTCACTGTAAAATTGTGCTTTGTAGGCAACAAACTGCTTTTCCTCCTGTGCTAGAGTGGCATGTCACTATAAACATAACCAATAGCTGGCAAGTTTGGACAAGACCGAATTACCATGATGTTGACTGTGGAATAGCTGCTGTATTGCTGATCATTGCCTACGAAGATCATGCACATCTATTGCTCGGGTTACTGTTGTCAGTTTTGAGATAATTACACCTCCAATTCCTCTGTCGTCTGCTGCAGGGATGGCCCCTTAGGTCTCAGGCTTCCAGTCTCTCTACAGGAAGGTCCCTCTCCCTCTAGACTGGGGATTTAGGTCTGCACTTCCCATGAAAATCACTGATTATCCCAGCAGGTCTGATCTTACCTCAGCAGCTGCAGCTTTGCCCTCTTTCTCCAAGGATAATGGCTGTGGATTTACCTGTGACTAGGTAGCCTGCACAAACCAAAGTACGTTTATTTCAGGAGAAAAAGCATTACAGCAAAAATGTCATAAAACAATGAAAGATCTAAATGCATATTAAGCTTACCAGAAGTCACCCATCTTCCACTTGGATGTCTGGTCACTTGTCAATGTCCTCCTTAACACTTCCAGCAGAGTTGGCTGTTTTGGTAAAAGGTACATGTCAGTTTGCAGATGAAGAACCCCCTTATTCAATTTAAGCTCAGGCTTTATACTAAAAGCCAGTCTTTGTCCACTTGGCCTCTGGCTCCGATTACTTGGTCTGACCTTGTATATGCAAAAATCCCTAGTGAGTGGTCCTTTTTTGGAATTTGTTTACCTGTTCCAGAATTTGCAGTAATCACCTCCCACAGATTATAGCTCCCTGGGGGAAGTTTGATAAACCTTCCCCTTGGAGTTAGAATATAATTTATGGCTCACAAAGATGGAGATAACATTTATAAAGTTATTAGAATGGTCTGATATGCATGTGTTCATCATATCCGCACCTTGTGTCCCTGAAAAATTGACTCTCCCTGTTTTCAGGAGCATCTGTGTCAGTCTTACACAAAACATAAATTGTCCCAATTTTCATAATCCTCACAGATTCCGGCCAAATGGGTTGGTGACGCTGACAACAGGCTGGCTATGCATACCAATACTTCAGGGCTACCCCTCTCAATAGGTCTGTCACGTGATGCCATCCATCCTACCTTCTCCCACGACCTCTCACTGAACCCTTTCTGTGCTCTCCTTTCCCCCTCCCCCATAACTTCTACAGTTAGGCTATGAGAAGGACATGAGTAACTGAGCTGAGGAGGCAGGGGTTTGGGAACAGTTTGTATAGTGGGGCTACTGGGAGCCATTGAACCAAACTGTAAACCCTGTGTATGATGGGAACCACTTCAAACCAGGAGGTGCAGCAGCCCCCTGAGTACCCCTAGTTCCAGCACCTATGTGAGGAGGGAGGGTTAAGAGCCGGCACTTTTTCTCCTCCCATTCTGCAAAAATCCTGCTGTTTAAAGTTACTTGATGGTTCTCTAAATCTCCTGCATGCCCAGACTGTGCAAACAGGTGTTCTGCTTTGACAATCTGATCCCATTACCTAACTAATAATAGAAATACTTACATTTAAAGTGGTTTCCCTTCTTCTGTTGCTGCTATATTAGAATGCTATCTGAGGTTTCTGCCTGTGAGATGAAAGCTTACTTTTTTGCAGCATAGGTTTTTTTTAAATGACTTTCTGTGCTTGTCTATACTTGCACACATTGGCTGCTCTGCTACTGTTTGAATGTATCCAAGTACAATTCCAGATCACTGGTTGCTTTAAGTACAATATTTACTTCTTGACTGCTAAAATATTGAGGGGAATGGGTTAGTGGAAAAGCAGATTTGACAAAGACGCAAATGTGAGCAATGAGATAATGAATGCTTCAGCAACACTGTAGAAGTGACTGAAAGCCTATCTGGTATTGCATGTTTTTAAATATTTAAGTACATTATTTGATGAGAAAATATGGGTATTTCATATGATATACTTTGAACTTGATGTTTGTTCATTACTCATGCAGTAAGTCAGTACTCTAGTGATTTAAATGCTGGGCTCTATCAATTTGCTGTGCATTATGCTACATTTCTTTAGGATCCATGGAAAAGCATCTAGACATTGATCAATGGGCACTATATCTGAGAATTACCATTCATGAAACTTTAGTTAAAACTGACATCATTTAATTATTAATCCTGTTTCTCAGCTGTTATGCAAGATTGGCCAGAAAAAAACACTCAGGAGTGAAACCTGGAACAAAAGTTCTCAATTTGGGGAAGAAAATATTTCTTACAAAATTCTGATGGGTATTTTCATGTTAATGATTTAAAAAAAAACTTTTATACATTTCACATTTGTTTTAGTGCATATGGAACTCTCATATAACTTAAGAATGAAGAGCAGAAATTTTGGCGATCGGTGATTCCATAATGTGTGTGGACTGGCATTGATATATTTATCTTAAAAGACAAAGAGCAAGTTCAGAGACAAATCTAAGCTGGTGTAATTTACAACTGCTTCCACACTTATCACTACCTACTCATATGTATCTTACACTGCTTTACACAGTTCCACAGAATTTGACCCACTGAGTCTAAGGTGAAACTTAGATTAAGGGACCTAATGAGTGGATATACTAATAAGAAAAGCAACTGATAGGAGTCTTTAAGTAGGTGTAAACTAAAGAAGAACCCCCCATCCTCCACACACATTTTATTTTCTGTCCTTGTTTAACATCACTGTCTAGATGAATGATTGTTTGTTCTAAAGGCACTCTTAAAACATTTTGACCAACATGTGCATGCTTTCAAGATGCCTGACTCTGGTCACAGGCAGCTGATTCATCTTTGCTTCTATCTTTTGTGAAGACCCTAGCCTTATGTTAGAAATGACTTAGATGTGATTTGTGGCTACCTACTTACCCATCATTCCAAGGTCAAGGAATGATGAATGAGCTGTGGAGCCAAGAGTCACATCCGGAGAGCTAAGGCATAGGGCTTGACAGTGACTTTTTGCTTTGGATCAGTAGACTCACGTTACTTTGCTGCTCCTTGATCAGTTTATGGAATGTAAGCGAAGGTGTATAAATACATACATCAATGATAAAAATAGGGGATCTCTTTAGAACAGTAATAATATTTGATTTATGTTAATGTATGTTCTAAAAGAAGCTATTTATTCTACCTTTAAAGTGCTATCGTGCGTCTTCTCTGTATACTAAATAAAAATAAAAAGCAGGACTTCAAATGAGAATAATTTGAGTTATTCTAATACACAGCAGATTTTCGCTTTTAGTGAAAAATCCTTGGGTAATTTAGTGTGCATTATTTTCTTAGGATAGTGTATAAAGGTACCTTAATTACAGTAATTAACTTTGCATTTGGAATAGCAGGTACTAACCACTCAGTGTGGGATCATATTTAAACCTCTGTTATTTGTCTTTGATGAAATGTCAGTGCAGGTAAAGCTGTTCTCAGGCAACTTCAGCTGCGTTGTACTTTTTTTGTATGGAAACCTTCAGTTATGGGGAGAGAAGAAAACTCCTTTTGCTCTTTTTTTTCAGCTGACATTTTTTTAAAAAGCTGTCACTTTTCTGTAATTCAACATACACTGTGACCTATGAGTGACTAGCTTCTCTAGAAGGTCATCGTATCCTGCACATTGGAATATGAACTTCATAGCATTTAAATGAACATATATTTTCTTTTCTTTCAATATGTACTACAGTTCAAAGTGACTTAAAGAAGCACAGACTCCACTGGAAAACTGTGCTGTGTAAGTCACCTGGGCTCAGGTTTTTAAAGGTACTTAGGTGACTAACTCCCACTGAAATCACTGGGAGTTAGGTGCCTAAATACCGTTTTTAAAAAAAATCTGGGCTTTGAACTCTTAAGAAAATGTCACCTAATTTTAGCCTAATAATAAACAAGCCTTACAATTTTTCACATGCCATTAAGAATTCCAATGGTAGCATTTAGTGTACTAGGTTCCCCCACGCATTTTTAATAACCCAGTTTTCTCCCCACTCCCACATACAATAGTTTAGCCGCTGCATGAGGTAGAATAGACAATGTTGTATAGAAGTCTGCCTTTCTTCTGCCTGTGCTGTACTTTGCTCTGTGGAAAGAGGACTTCAGTCACCAAAGCTGAAAGTGTGGTACTTATAAAAACACTAAATCACTCAATAAAATTCTGGGTAACATTAACTTTCAAATACATTGGTCATTCACTGAGAATAAGACCTTATCAAGCATAACAGCCATTCATACACAGATATAGGAGCCAACTTTTCATTTCCCATGAATAATCTGGTGCAGAACTTTTTTAAAAGGTTGAGATTTAGGAACTATATAGGTCCTATAAAGTACAGTGTAAAACACTTTTTGTAATACTTTCGGAAATATCTGGACTCCATTTTAACCCTTTGCACCCTCAGATTTTTTTAAGTAGTTTATTTCCAACTTTTACATGAAATGATCTTAGCACATAAATAAGTCAGTATCTCTTTGCTCTGTGATGAGCCTTCTCCATCTTGACTACAGGCCCTTTCTAGCCCTAACCTTGTGGTAAGTAGTATGAAAAATCCTGAGGCAGACCTCCAAAAACCAGGAGATTGGCATAAAAAGCACAAGGTTTTCAAAAAGCAAGTATCTTCATGATTTTTTGTCTCGTCTTCTCACTTTGGGACTCCTCCTAGAACTGAGGCTCTCCAAAGTTAACTCATACAGGGACTAACAAACATTTATAAGGTGGGAACAAGTTTTAAACCTGCTGAGCTGGATTCTGATTGGCGACCTACAGGTGAATGGCTCTATAGAGCCTTAGCATTGTCCTGAGGTATCAAATCCCCTATAAGTACTTTTTAAAAATCTTGCAGAATGAGACTTGCTTTCTGGAAACACATGTTTACTAAATCAAGGTCTGATCTTTTTGGAGTAGAGTCTTCCAGTCTCTTGATACACAGACAAGGTGTCTCAGCCTGAAGCATGTTGCAGAAGATTTCACACTGTTCTTAAAGGGATAGATTCTGTTATCCAAACTACAAACACTAAAAATGCAACAGTAAACAAATATTAACACAACACCCAATGTCACTGCTAAAATACAATGTTTTGCAATGTAAATCATTCAAACAGTTTTTTTGCAAGGGTCCTTATATTTAAAAAAAAAGATCATTAACAGTCTTTGAATCCACAGCAACAACTTCAATTTCAGCTGTAAGATTGAGGGGGAAGTGTATGCTGTTATCTTCTGTGTAAACTAGCCTAGCCAGGGAGACAAAACTCAGTTTAAAGGTGGATTACAAAAGTATTTGTGGCACAGCAGTAGAACTCTGGGTATCAGGATTCTTGGTTTCTTTTCCTGGCTCTGGGGACAGATAGCATTGCCAAATGTAACAATACTCCTATCTCGGTCATCTTAACTGGGGCCTTCTGGATGTAAAAGCATAAGCCACTACCACTAGAATCAAAGAACTAGATCTTTCAGCATGGAAGTAGCAGTAGAGTTGTAAACTTCTGTATGTGATCTAGCCACTAAGGCATGACAGCCATACTCTGGTTGGTAGGGGTTAGAGAAACACCTTAGGTGCAGGCATGTTCCTTCTGAAAGATTGTGTAGCAAAGTGGATGAGACCTAGTTCTGTTATAGTAGAACGATTTGTTCTACTCCTAGCTCTGCCCGGAGTGACATCATGCAAGCTCCTGGTTATCTCAGCTAGAAAATAGGTGAGGAATAGTTACTCCTGTAAGGTAATGAGAAGAGGACTGGGCTCATAATAGTGGAGTGGAAGAGCTGGGATTAGAACTCATGTGGTCTCTGTTCCAGTTTAGTGCCTCTTCCCTTGGGATACAGGCAGGGCCGGCTCCAGGCACCAGCGCACCAAGCTGGTGCTTGGGGCGGCACTTGGAAGGGGGTGGCACGTCCGGGTCTTCAGCAGCAATTTGGCCGCCGAAGAATGAAGCGACATGGTAGAGCAGCCATCGAAGTGCCGCAGATCGCAGCTTTATTTATTTATTTATTTACTGTTTTTTTCTCTCTCTCTTCGCCACTTGGGGTGGCAAAAAAGCTGGAGCCGG